TAAGAGGATTTGAAAAAAAGAGAAAAGGGGGGGGGGGGGGGGAAGAAGAAACAGCTCAGGAATGAATACTTTACATTCATCACATACTGCAGCTCTTTACCAAAGTTTAACAAGAATGATTACTGCTAATTGGGGAATTGATATAAAGCTTTCATTGTCCACTTTGGTGCTTAAAAACAATTCATAAATGCCGAATCCAGAATGGCATGCTGGCAAATCAGCAACCCACCTACTTAACATAAAACTGGATTTTATGCACTACGAACAAGCAGCAATGAAAGCATCCATAGAGGATTAGACACTGAGTATATGTCTGCAGATGTGGGTGACTAGAGTTAACTAAAAACTCTAAGCAAAAACCTCCAACAAATAGGTTTGCAAAGGTATTTCCTTGGGATGATGTAGAATTCTGTGAAAATGATGCCACGGCAGTGGTTTATTCTCTGTTTTTTTCCTTCAAATCTTATAGCAAATAATTTTAATTTATATAATGTTTATGGTTCTTGGAAGAGTGCTGGCTTAGTGAAGGACACAGTCCTGACTTCTGTTGGTGGTTTAGAAGAAATCTACAGTTACCACAGAGAGCTTTAGCTAACAGAAGAACATGTAGCCTAAACGTAGATCAATAAAAGGATAAAACTTCTGCCTCTAAAATAAGTGATCACAGAATTAATTTGACTTCTTTCATGGGTCTATTTCTAATAGATTAGGGAACCAGAACGTTCCAAAAGGTTCTCTTGCTGGTTCGCTCAGCCCTCCCAGGATCAATGAAGCAAACACCCAAATATACATGTAAAATGTTTTAACTAGCAAGTTTGTATAGAAATATGCTGCTATGAAAACAGAAAAATGATGTTAGGAGAGGTGTCCTATGTCAAATGACTTCAACAGACTTGATTTTAAAATAATTGCTTTAGGTTGACAGATTTTTTCAAGGCAATTAGGACAATAAAAAAACCCCCAAATGTTTAACAATATATTTGAAATATCTATTTTCATTGGAGAACATTACAAGAAAGAAAGGAATATTCAACATGAAAAACATAAGCCTGCAGTGGATCAAGTCCATGCAGTTAATTTTATTTGAATGTTTACAGATTTTACAATACCTCATATCAAAAGTTTTCAACCATCAAAACATGAGGGGTAAATTAATTCCTTGAATAAAAGCTATTTGATCCTTGGCAGTATCTCTTCTTGCCTAGAAGGAGGGCTGTTTATTACTGTCATCTTTCTAGGATTGTAGTTCTGCCATTAGTCTCAGAAAATTGTGTTAGCTGAAAGGAGTATAAACATTCTTTTTATTACTGACCCTAGAAGTACGTATTATGAGCTCACGCAGACTGTCTTGATCCACAGGTAGTATTTATAAACTTACAATACCTGCAAAATTTTTAGATATGTGCTTTTTAAGGACTATAAACTCCAAAGCATTAGTAAACACATCTTTAAAAAAAGTGTTTTCAAACACTTGTTTTCAAGGACATGCTACCATGTATAGGGAATGATAAATAATCTCTCTCCTAAATCAATTAAAAAACAAAAACAAAACCAAAAAACCAATCTCTATAGCTAACACTAACTAAATTTACTCCACAATTGGGGTTTACCATAAAGCTTTCATAAATCAGTTTGGCAGGCACATCAATTTGCACAGCTGTGAATGTGGAGTAACCATCCTAAAATCAATGGGGTTACTCCAGCTCTGGTCCAGCACAGTAATTGCAGAATCTCTGTCATTTTCTTAAACATTTCTGTAGTTTTACACCATGGAAAAAAACCGAATAAACCAGGTCATTTCGTAAGAGATGTGAGACAGCTAAGTCACTTGAAAGCTGGCTGCAGCTAAAATAGGAAGATCTGCTTCTTCCTCACCTCCTCTTCCTCCCAGGCGCGGGGCCCTGCTGCTGCCGCCTCTGCTGGGCTTCAGCGCTTTTCTGAGCGCACCGGGAGCTGGCTCCGCGTAGAAAACTCGCCCAGCAAAAAAGGCAAACGTATTTTAGTCACTCCAGTTTCCCGTGCAGCCAGACGAGCGCAGGAGTCAGCAGAGGGGAGGGTGCGTCCCAGCCTGAGGAAGGTTTGGGAGAGGAAAGGGGAGGTGGCAAGGAGGGACAGGCAGCTGGTGCCACTCCTGATGGCAACGGCAAGGCACTGGGCTGGCTCAGCCCTCACCTCCCAACTACACCCCTGCGCCAGTCGTGAAAATATTGCACACGATGAGAATATTTCTGCTCAACCTTTAAAAAATGTCAACTACATAAGAAAACAATTTGAATGGAAATTTGCTCGTCCTGAAGAATTTAAAAGAAACGAAGATTTGTTTGGATATTAGCTGTATAACTGAGTGTCTCTTTTAACTTTCAAATCAACCAAAATGGGGAATCAACTACTTCAAAGATGGGAAATTTTGCTCTGCAACTAAGTACTTGAAGCTAAAGGAAAAAGAAAAAAAAAAAAAAAATCAGACTGATGTCAGTAGCGTCCACTCCAAATAACTGGAACAATATTTCCTAGCAGACCCCATAGTGTAATCAAGACGTTTTTCATAATGGGCATGTGCCCTCTGCAGTAGTTCAGGAGACCATAGCTATAAACAAAAACTAATTTATTAGGGAACATTTGAGCCCTGATGTGCTGTGAAAACATCTCAAGATCTATCTGCATTACTGAATATTTAGTAAATAGTAAGCCTAATACATCAACCTTAACATACATTTAAGATGAAAAATATCCTATAGAAATGGCACCTGGTTACTTTAAGTGTCTACTTCTACAGCGTGTGTCTTTGAAGTCACATCTTTTAAACTTTCAGACAAAACTAGTCATTACCATTAACACGAATGACTCAATATACTGCAGAACTACAAAGCAAATTCTGTTTGGCTTCATAGTTCACCAAGAGTACTGTAATAGAAGCCCTAGGTCCAAAGTCATCCCTCTTGGTGGTGGCGCATGAAGCAATAGCAGTGGCCAACTTTCATACAATAGACTGTGGTTGCACTGTTAGTCTTATAATAAAGTCTTGTTTTGACTTGTGAATTGAGCAAGTTTGGTGTGGCAACTCACAGCCACATAATACACTGAAAATGTCAGAAAATAACTCTTGCAGTCAGATTTCTGATAATAACTGCCGCTACTATACAACTCTCAGGAACTCTCAGAAGATTCAACGAGACATGCATTAATACATTCTTGTGTTATTTTCACTTTCTTTCCTCTCCAGTCTAGAAAACATTAGCCTTAAAGTTGTCCCATTTTGAAGCTTTCAGTATGTCTCTATACATTGCTTTAATTACCTACTTCTTGCCTTGGCAAACCACAGTTATTCTTTGAACTGAAACCCTAGCAGCCCCAAACACTTTTTATTCAAACTTACTAACAGATGAGAGTAATTTTGCAATTACAAAAGTTCTAAGAGATTTCAAGCAGCTTCCACTCCTCAATACTGTTTCAATCAAGAGTGGTATGAATCCCTGAAGTCCATGTTTATTTAAGTAGTTAGTGGTGGGGTTGTTATATGCTGGGGTAAACTCTTCCTAGAGCTGACACTGCATATGTTCAACTCCACCTGCTTATATATCAAGGGCTGAAGACTTTGCAGTGTAACACTTAACATAGACGCCAGACAAATTTTATATCTTACACATGCCCACAATTTTATAGTGAATTTTGTTTGCAAAAAGTACCAGTTTATAACAGAGCTGATGTTCCTCATTATCGCAAATAGTATCATCAGAATTATAAAGTGTTGTAGCAGAAGGTATAGTTCATTACAGTACAGAATTCAGGATATACAGATTGACTTCAAATTTACATATCAAGATACAGAAAAGCAACTCAAATTTGCAAATTTGCTTGTACAGGTAGATGTTGCCAAGATCAGACCATTGCTGAACAGCTCCTCATCACTGCCAAGCCCCAAATTTTTTTGTTCCAAGGCACTTATTTTATATTAAAGGCTCAGAAGAGTGGAAGAAATACAGTATGTTGAATAGCAGATCTGCCACATTACAAATCTTAAAACCTGTAAATGGGATAAAGAATTAATGATATAATAAACCTTCACTGCCACGTAGATATTTGTCCACTTAGTTATTCAATTAACCATGTTGAAAGTCAATCAATACTACATAAGATTGTTCCTCAGAGGTAAAAATCCCCCCATCTCTGACAATATAATCTCTTCCTTATCAAAACTCAAGAACAGTATGTACAATTCTGAAATGTAGCTCCACCATCATGGGTGCAGATAAACTCAGCTAAGAGGATGATAATTTAGGAATTAAGATTTGTAGGCATCATCAGGTAGATAATACCATTTGATGCTTTTTAAATCAAGCCTACAGAGTTATGCTTACAATATATTAAGCTTCTTTCATAAATCAAATCCTTTTAATATTGCTTATACACACAGCATCATGAAAAAAGCACCTGAAATACTCACACCATAAATATTAGTGAGCCCCAAGATATTTCTACACTCACATTTTAAGGAGTTATAGTCCAAACGACGATGTACAAATAAGCAGCAAAATCACAGCTCTGACACTATTAATACAGTACACGACAGAAGATACATTACAAATCTGCTGTAACACATTACATTGCGTAGTTGTGGGTAATCGGCTTTTGACTGGAAGCTATTTGAAATTTTACTGACAGAAATAAATCACTAAACCAGACTGTGGGACTTGCATGCAGATAAACAGTAGTAGTTAATACCCAGCAGTTAGCAGACTTACAGGAAGAGCTCATTTGTGGGATCGTACTCACCCAGTGACTCAACATATAGAATATGTCTATTTATTATAATTATTTTTGCTGTTACCAAGATTAACTTTCATCTCTTTTGTCTGGCAGACAACACTTTCTTCACTTCAAAACATAAATTTAATTGTGGGATGCTCGGAAGACAAGT